ATGATGACAATGATTAGACCAAAGGACTTGAATGAGAATTATCTAAATTATCTACTGCACAACACAGAATCATAGAATAATTTAGGTTGGAGGAGACTTCTAAGATGGAGTCCATCCATTAACCCAGCACTGCCAAGTGCCATGTCCCTAAGCAACACATCTACACCTCTTTAAATATCTCCAGGGTTCATGACTCAACCCTTCCCTGGGCAGCCTGATCCAATGCTTGACAACACCTTCAGTGAAAAAAGTTGTCATGATATTCAATCTAACCGACCATTTCCCCCTGTCCTATCGCTTGTTACCTTGGGAGAAGAGACTGGACACCCCTGACTGCAATCTCTTTCAAGTAGTTGCAGAGAGTGATAAGGTCCCTTCTGAACTTTCTTTACTCCAAGCTGAACCCCAGCTCCCTCAAACACTCCTCATCAGATTTGTGCTCCAGACCCTTCACCAACTTTGTTGTGCTCTTCTCTGGAGTGGTTGCAGCACCTCATTGTCTTTTCTGTAGTGAGGGACCCAAACCAAAACAGAGTATTTGAAGTGTGGCCTCAGCAGTGCCGAATACAGGGAGATGATCACTGTCCTGGTCCTGCTGGCCACAATATGCCTGATACACGCCAGGATGCCATTGGCCATCTTAGCTACCTGGGCACACTGCTGGCTCACGTACAGCTGGCTGTCAACCAGCACACCCAAGTCCTTTTCCACCAGGCAGCTTTCCAGCCACTCACTTCCAAGCCCACTACATTGCATGGGGTTGTTTTGACTGAAGTGCCACATCCAGCTGTTCACCTTATTGCACCTATTGATCCAACCCATCCAGATACCTCTATAGATCCCTTCTACCCTCAAGCAGACAAAAACTCCCACCCAACTTGGTGTCACCTGCAAACTTACCAAAGATGCACTTGATTCCCTCATGCAAATTGTCAATAAAGATATTAAACAGGACTGGCCCCAACACTGAGCCCTGGAGAACATCAGGTGACCACCCACCAGCTGGGTGTAACTCCCTTCCCTCTCACTCCCTAGGCCCAGCCATCATCCAGTTTTATACCCAGCAAAGACTGCACCTGACCAAGCCATGAGTAGCCAGTTTCTCCAGGAGATGCTGTGGGAAAAAGTGTCAGTGATTTTACTGAAGTCCAGGTAGACAACATCCACAGCCTCTCCCTTATCTGCTTAGTGAGTCACACTGTCATACTGATGGCAGAAAGGCACAAAAGGAGTTAACGATGGCCTAGCTGGTATTCCTTGCCCTGCTGAGCCAGGAGAAGGTAATTGCCTAATGTTTGTTCTGCCTTGCTAGAAGAACATTATAGGAGCACTGGTTAATGTCTTGTTCTGCTCTGTTTACTGAACCAAAATCTTATCATAGAAAGAATGCTAGGGAGTGGACCACAAGGTAATAAACTAAGTAAACTATACATTTGAATTAGATATAGGAGGCCCGGAGCCAGGATTTTGCTAGCTTGAAGAATCTAGGTCACTTAAAGAAAGTTGAAAAGTTCAACCCTGAGGAAGATGATCATGATGACCACCAGGGGGATGAAGGCTCACTGTCGACCACCGTAGCAAAAGACTGCGTATGCACCAAAGAAAATTCTGGAAAATCTGCACCCAGAGACCAGCCTACTTATTAATATGTATGTTAGAAGGTGTAACTGTGTACCTAAAATGTATAAAATGGCTTGTTTTGTGCTCTTGGGTCCAGCGAGTTTGTGCAGGGCGACCTGCCTTGCTCCCAACATTGCAATAAACAAATATCTTGCTGTTTAAAGATGCAAAGTCTCTGAGCAGTTCTCTTATTCCGAGGTTTTTCGGCATCAACAGAAGGAGATCAAGTTGGACAAGCAGGATCTGCCTTTCTGCTGGCTGGTCCTGATCCCTGGGTTGTCCTGTATGTGCCATGTGATGTCACTCAAGATGATCTGCTCCATGACCTTCCTCAGTATAGAAAGCTATTACTGCTACTAAAGTGCACGATTTATTAAATCATTATTTTCAAAACTAGCTTAATAATTATAAAGGAGAGACTGATGCTGCTCACCCATACTTATGACCATGGGCAAATCTCTTTCAGTCAGCCCTGAGGATAACCTTAAGAAGCATCCCCACTTAAATGACGAATCTCTACACACGCTCCTAGAAGGGGTGTGCTAGAAATCCTTGCCATAAAAAAGAGGGCTTGGGCTTTTATAGGATGAAGTGATTGACCATCAGTACTATGTTGTTAGGCTGGCCATGCTAGCTCAGCAGAATAGTTCATTTAAAATAAGTTATTAGTACTACCACTCACTGGTTCCTCTATGAGGAAACACCTGTCAGGAAACTGGTTTCTTCACATCCTCATGTTACAGAGCAATTTAAATTTAGCAGTAGAATGGCTAAGGCTTCCTAAGAGAGTAGGCCTAGAAAGCAACACTCCAAAGTAGTATGTTAGCAACCTTGTTTGTGAGCATGGAATGTGCAGAAAAAGTGGAAACAATAATCAAAGGATCTAGTCAAGCATGTATATAATGATTTGTTACCTTAGATGTGGTAAGGGTCTGTTAAACAGTTTCTAGGAGTAAGACAACCTAAGCAGATTTATGATTAGAGTAGATGATTATCAATTGTTATCAGTATGAAGTATGAGCTTGTTTGTAACTAAATGTAACTGTTTTGCTGTGGAAACTGCACGTAAACTTGTTTGTGTAAAAGTATAAAAGCTGAACTCGGAATGAAGGTCTTTGGAATCCTGACTTGGGACGCTAGTCCTCAGGTTCCCAGGCCCTGAATAAAGCACTGCATAAACCGGCACTCTGTTGGTTTGTGTCTTTGTTACGGGCAACACTCATACTGTTTCATTCTGTGGTGATTCAGCCAGGCTGGTCTCGGCATTCTTCAACACCGAAAGCAGCATGACCTTCATCACTGGCAATTTTTGCAAGTAGGGTGATGTTCAAGTTGTTTCACCCCTACTTAAACAGAACATCCTGCTGCACTTCCATGTTTCCAAGTTTAGTACTTATGTTAAAAATCTGAAATTATGTTTCAATAAAGATGTTTGAGGCAGGACTACTGCTACAGATTTCTACTTATCACACTTCACAGCAACAACAGTGAAGTGTAGAGAAACGAGGAAACGCTTCAAATTCTGAATGTGCCTTAAAACTTGGAGGGAGCTTGGAAGTTCTGCAGTTGAGAAATTAAAATTATGTAATTCAATTTTAAAACTTATTCAGAGGCGGCACAAAAATCAAAAAACAAAGAAAAGGCACTTCATGGCATTTGGCAACTGATCCACAGTCCCACAGCTGTAGAACTGCAGCCAGCAACAATGCCACAAGTGTCACGGAAACTGCGGTCAACAGGGCAAGAGGAAAGAGGTCATTCTTCTCACCATGAATGACATAATCCAGATAAACACCATGCCACATACCAACAACCAGAACCGCTAGATACAGAAAAATCTGAATTTGTCATAAACAGCATCTAATCTCAAAGAGATTATTCTGAAAGATAAAAGTGAATTTTCTGCCAGCACTATAGACTCCAGGCATTTGGAAGAGCCATGCTTCAAAAGGAATTTTAAAATTCTAGTTCCCCATGATACCGAGCAACATATCAACACAAGCAAACGAGATGTCACTGCTCAAAACAAAATGACATCTCCAAGACTGTATTTGATTGCTTGATGGTATCAACCAAGCATTTACTGCTTACACTTCTCAGGGAAAAACTTATGTTCACTTTTGACAAACAGCTGTAAGCCTGTGAAAGTAATTTTTAACAGAAAAGCAAAATATTTGCAGGGAAAAGGCATTAATAACAGAGACAGGATTCATCACACAAATTGACCAAATATTCTATTCGGAAATCTACAAAAGAAAGTTCTTCTAATACTACCATCAGACTCCTTTATCTCCTTTATACAGGAGTATCCTTGCCTCTACAGTATAGCTCACATATGTAATTGAAATACATACCTGTATACATCTATAACTCATGCTTTTCTAGTTTTGAGTACCATTATGATGGAAGAGGTCAGCTAACAATGAATCAGAGTCAAAAGTTGCTGCTTCTTGGATGGAATGACTTTTATTTTAGAAAATGCCTACACCTCTCTGCTACAGCTGCAAATTTTCTACTTACCATCAAACACTTCACAGAAACAACAGTGAAATTCAGAGAAACCATGAAACAGGCTTCAAACTCTGGAGAATTTTCAAGTTCTAAGGCACATTTAAAGAACTGTCTTACACCTCCAGTAGTTGTAGACATCCCCTTTTAAAAGTACTGCTGCCTTAATATTCAACACCTAATGACTACTAATTGGAGAAAGGTTTACAATGGACATACAGAATACTGGCTGAACTGCATTGAATTTCAGCCATGGAGATTTCTCACATACTAGAAGAGTTCTTTGGCATATTTGCATTTTATGGAGATCATTTATACCCAGGATGAAGGTATATTACTAGCTTCAAGATCACAGAAGTGTTTATAAGAAGTATAGCTTCTCTGGTGAGTGATGAAGTATCCTGTATATGTAAGTTACATTATCAATTCTTCCATTAAATGAGCTTCCTTGCAATTCCTTTAAGTATAAAATCCTACAGCTTTTTCGCTCTACATTTCCACTGCCCATTGCAGATGCAAAACTGTTGAGAATTAAAACAGAAACACAAACGATAGTCAGAAACATCCTAGTAACATCTAGCAATCAAACGTGTGAAAAAATAAAAATCCATTCCCTGTCAGCAAAGGGAAAGTATTAAAGTTCTGTGAAAAACTGTGGCTGTAACAGTTTTAAGTATAGCCTAGAAAGACTTGAAGTAATTAAGACAGGTTGAGAAGCTTACATTTTCCCCAACCCTACATTCTTCCTCATTTCTACATCTTCAGTTGCACCAACCAATGCTACTACTTGTGGTGCTTCAGGGTGAACCAGATTAGACAATAAAACAGCTTCCACAATTTCACTTAAAAAAAAACAAACAAACAAAACTTACTTCAGCAATCTTGTTAGTGTGTTTCTTCAGACAGATGTGGAGCACTCACTCGAAGAACAGGAGGTCCTCACCGATCTTTTTTCCTAGAAGGGACAATAACCAATAAGCTGCAAGTGCTACTTTTTCCAAAGGAGCAATGACCTGTACCAACAATACCACTGGAGAGTCTTCCATGTCCCTGATTACTACTAACACATCAGAAGATCTCCTGGCAGATTTTGAAGTCCAATTTGCTATGAAGCAACAGTTTCCTTTTATTAGTGCCCAGAATCAGTTCATGAAGGCAAATATTAGCAGTCACCTAATCCTAAAACCACAATAGGCATTTTCACCATTTTTCCTTTTTTTTTCTTTTTTCTCTCCTCTTCTTAAGAGTCACCAGCAGGCTCTGGTTTTTCACAAGCCCTCACAGTTAGCAAACCATGAGCTGCTCTAGGAATTAAGATAGCTGAATTGCACCTTCTTGGCCTCCTGCTCCCTCCTTTACTTTTTCTTTGCTGTCTTCAGTGACCCCTTTCAAATTAGGGGGAAGGCAGTATTGCTCTCTGATGATTATTGTCTTCAGCAAAGAGAAGAGAGGCTCAGCATCAAACTAACAGGTTAATTATTGTGTCGATTAGGACCAAGAAAGACCACAAACTCTGCGAGAAACTCTCAGATCTCCAACCCACTGCTCATGGCTGCAGAAAACGAAACTGAGCAAGCTCAGCACATGCAGAATTTAAGAAAACACTTGAAAAGACTTCCCCTGCTTGCCAGAAGCCAATAGAGCCAGTTGGTGGCTCAAAAGGTAATAGTAAGCAGCTCAAGTGGTCCATTATGGGCAAAAGAACTGCCTGAGAAGCACACCACTCTCACCTGGCCACGTGCATATTGCACCTCTACTCTATCAAAAGGGACTAAGCCAAAACAAAAGGCCCCTTTTGATTGCTTTTCTGTCAAACACACACAGAAAAAAAAAAGGAAAAAAAAAAGCAAACAAATTAGTTGGGAAACACCGTTTAGTGTAATTTTTAGAAACATATAAAAATAAAATATAAAAATATTGTACTACCAACTACTACCGTTGCCTGCAGAAAACATCTAAGTTGATAATTTGTTGGCTTTTAAAAAGTGTTTGAAAGAGAGCCTCCTGCAAATCAGAGTATTTCACTGATTTACAACTATTTTTCTTGAAGGTCATGGGGGAGGAGCAAGAAACCATCTGTGCTGTAAGTAGAGAACAGAACCGAAATGACAAAAGTGCTTCTAAAAAGCTGGCAGACCAGTGAACTGGAGAAACAGTTTTAGCTTCTGTTTAGAAGGAAACTGAAACACCCCATAACAGACTTGATATGAATCATGCTGTAATGTTTTCTTCTGCCAAACATCAGACAATACATTACTTCCTGAAAAAAAAAAATAAATACTGTTTAAGGTTGAACTACAAGGAGGGCTTGATTCTTTAAACATTGAAGTGCCTCCCAACTCACTGCAGTGAGATGACAGTGAACTAATGGTCCCTGGTAAACATCTTCAGAACTACCTCAGTGAGTTTGCCAAGACTCTGTGCCTTGAGACTTTTATACCGACACAGCCATCGAGAGAGTACAGGACACTAATATAAAAGTGATCACCAACCAGAGTCTGTTTTCTCTGCCAGCAATGTCTGTCTAAATGTTTTGGGAAGCTGGCTAGTTAGTTCATGGGAACTGGGTGATAAGAGCACAGTCAGGAGTTTTGATGTTAGTAGCAAGTTACTCCCATCATTCTCAGATGCCAGAGGAAGAAAATATTTACCAGGACTCACATGAGCTGGGTTTGTTTTCTAATATTTTTAAGTCCTCCCAGGAGGCTAGTTAGGAGTGGGGAAATGGCCAATGTTACCACAGAGCTCCTAGAAAGAGCTGAGTCAATCTCCTAACAACTTCTAGGAAAACAACCACCACCATTTTATCCTTTCAACCACAATACAGGACTGCAGGTGTCCCTCTTACACAAGGCGGAGCACCAGCTCCTTACCGCACACCTTGTGATGCCTACTGGAAAGGCTGAAGCAAAAAAATCACTAACATCGGACTTGCATCGCAGAGCTTAAACACAAGGGACTTGTCTTCCCCACACTGCGAGTCCACAATCCTGAAAGCTATCTTATTTTTTTTTTTTTGGTCGGTTTGTTTTTGGTTTTCCCTTTTTTTTTTTTTTTAATATTACTTCTCAATAATATCTCCCTGGACTGCCATACCCTATGGAGAAATACAGTAAATAAACTTCTGCGTCCTTAAGGCGATCGGCGGTGGGGGATGTTTCTGGAGCCCGCTGATCGCATTGTCCTTGCACAGGCACCCGCAGGACGCTTATTATATCGACGTTAATCGGTTCTGCGAGACCAGCGGGTCCCGCTACGAGACGAGCAGCAACCTGCCAGCCTGACCCCGCCGGTCGCCGCCCCCCCCGAGCCCCGCCGACCCCGCGGCCGCTCCCGCCGGGGCCGCGGGCGGCTCCGCGCGGCCTCCCCCGCTCCCCACCGCGCCTCCCCGGCCCGGCCGCGGCACCGGCCGCCGTGGCCGCCCCGAGCCCTCCGCAGGGCCGGCAGCTCCCGGGCAGCGGCTCCTCGCAGCCGCCGCATCCCCGGCCCCGCGGGCGGAGCGGAGCGGAGCGGGGCGCGGCACGGCCCTCGCTGCCCCTCGCCGCGCTCCCTTCCCCGTCCCCCTTCCCCTCCCTGCCCGCCGCCGCGCACGTCCTCACCGAGCCCGCAGCCGGCGAGTCGCCCGCAGCCAGCGGCCGTTGGCCCCGGTGCAGGCGGAAGGAGACCCCGGCGCCGGGGTCGGGCAGCGGGGCGGGAGCTCCGGGGCGGAGCGGGCAGAGGGAGAGGCGGGGCCGGCGCTTCCCACCGCCCCCTCGGCCCCGCTGAGGGAGCGGCACAAAGGCGGCGGGGCAGGGACGGGCTGGGCACGTCCTGTGTTTGTCTTGTGCCCGTGGGTGCAGCGCTGACAGCGCCGTCAGACCGCGCTTTCGGTTTCTCAGAGCCCTCCAGACCGAGCTCCTCCTCCCTGCCTCTTTCCCTGCCTCCCTTCCTGCTTTCTCAGGTCTCCAGTGGGATCCCCCAGTTCCCTGCTGCAGGCACGTCACGTTTTTTTGAAGAAAAATACCGTGTTTCTTTCACATCCTCCCACGAGTTGAGGCACCAGCTGAGGCTTCAGTTAGAAGATCTAGGGGCTGAACAAGGCCCTGTAGTAAAAGCTAGGTAGATGGAAAAAAATATTAAACAAAAAAACCATATTCAAGCAGTGCAGTACTTAAAGATTATTTCACAAAATTACCAGAAGGCTATTGTAATGAGTGTGTAATGATGAAATAAACAATTTGCTCATCAAATTATATCTTAAATTAATGTACTTTATACCAATATAATTAAAGCTTCGCTTAGGCTGAAAAATCGTAAGTTGCAGAATAGTTAACCATAAGGCTGACATGACAAATTGTTATGCTTTGCTAAATGGGTATACTATATCCTGTTATTCTAAAAGTGTATAGTCCAAGTGTACTTATAAGGAGACGGATAAGGAGCAGAGGGTCAAGCACAAGGACAATAAAGAGGAACCAGGACTGCCATCTGGAAAGTCCCATATACCAGGCCTCAAGGACAGCAGACTAATCAAACTATTGGTGGGAAGTCCCTAGCAACTAGACTGAGCCCACGAAGGAAGGACCAAACAGAATGGAGCCCACGAACCTAAGTCCAATGAAGAGATGACAAGTGATTGTGGGAGGGGAAATTAATAAGGGTATAAATGTTGTTGTTTGCTTGTTGTGCTTGCAGACCATGAGCGGAGCAAAGGTCTTCCTGGCCACCCAGCGCACTGTTTTGCTTATTTGCACTTTCAATAAATCTTATAATAAATTTTTACTACTTTTCAAATTTAAATATTTCGGTTTGATTTAACTATAACAGCTATTATCTGCTTGAAAGATCTAAGTTAAAGTTTTGAACAGGTGACAACACTATACTGAATAGATCTTACCTAAAGTTCGTATCCTGAGTAGCAGTCAGGGGCACAAAGCTCATTATAGAGCTATATAGTAAGGGAAGGTAATTTTTATTAAGCTTTATAGCTAAGCTGTGTACTTACACAAGCATCAGGAAGCATGTCTCCAAGCCAGCTGGCGTGACTTGTAGGATATGGCACTGGCATGTGATGGAGGGCATGGCAGCTGCTGAACCCTCTCTGTCTTACAAGTTTCTCTTCACTGCTGACAACAAACTGCCCTTAGATAGGCCTTATGTATATAACCTCCTGGAGGCAAACAGTTGCTCTTTTGCTGCCTCCAGGTGAGTCTTAGGAAAGGGTTCTGAGTCATGTTCAGCTTTTGTTTTCACTTTCTAGTTACCTTTTGGCTCCAAGCCAGTTGTCACCCAACCCTAAGGTGACAGGCACGTTCTTTCCAGGATCCTCGGTAGAGTGAGAACTGGCCACAAGTCTGTAGTTATAATTAGAGCTTTATTATTATGTAAAGATTTTAGCAATCAGCGTAGCTTATTGTTACACAGGTTTTCTAGCAATTGGCATGGCTTTCCTATTACATAACATTTCTGTTAACTAGATTGGGTCAAAATTTTAATAATCAGTCCAATCATCATAATTTAGACTCTAACTTTTAAATGTACATGAACCACTCTCTCAACCCTTGGAGGAAGAACAATGGAGGCCAATACTCTATCTGACCTGGTTGTCACCAAACACGACAAAAGAAACTTACCCAACACCAATTTGATGTGAATAAGCAGACATTTCTTTATTCAGTGCGCTGAGAACATGGGGGATTGCTCCTCCAAACACGTTCTCTTTAGCAACAAAATCCATTCATTTTTATACTTTTTTTTTTGCATAAGCCCTTTCTTAAATTTAACCTTTACAGGGATTGGTTCCATTAGTTATATATCTTTATTCTAAAGCAATCATTGGTCAGTTCTGCTTAGCTCTACTGATTGGAATCCTTGATACTCAAATAAAGATGGAAAGGGTAAGGGAGTTTCCAAGCAGCATAAATGATCTGGTAACTTCTTGGTGAGGTTTCTATGGATGTATACTTCAAACACAACACTCCTAACAATCCCATACATTATGCCTCACAATTTCCTATATTTAAATCGCAACTACTTCTTCTATATGATCAAATCTCAATTATTTTATCAAACGATTTGCAACATGGTGAAACAGGATGCTCTGCCTAAGTGGCGGTGAAGCAACTCAGACTTTACCCTATTTGCAAAAGGTGATGGATGAAGAAGAGGGATCATACTGGCTTTGGTGTTGAATGCCAAGCCAGCCTGACTCAACAATCCCAAAGTTAAACATGCTGAGGATGTGAAGAACAGTGATTCCTGGCAAAAACTGGTACAGGTAAGGAAGTGGCATACAAATTTCCTGATAAAGGAACCAACAAGTGAAACTACAGATAACTTATCTAAAGCTGCTGAGCTGACACAGCTGGCCCAGCCCCACTGGGGTTTTTGTTTGGGGTTTATGTGTTTGGGGTTTTGGTTTTTTGTGGTTGTTTGGTTTTTTTTTCCCAGGTAGACAACAACCACAGACTTTCCCTCATCCACTAAATAGGTCACCTTGTCACAGAATGAGACCAGGACCTGTCTTTCATAAACTCATGCTGGCTAGACCTGTGCAGAAGTCTGGGCAACAAGGAGTTAATGCGCTGCTATAGCCACCAATAACCACCACTGTGCAAGCTGGAAAAGGATGTGGCTGGAGAGGGGGCCTGTATGGAGGCAGAGCAGCACCTTCCTGGGGCCCACTTCCCTGTTCTGGTCTATGGAGACTGAACAACACAAACCACAGCACAAACACAACACAAACACAAAACACAACTGAACAACACAAACCACAGCACAAACACAACACAAACACAAAACACAACTGAACAACACAGAACACAGCACAAACACAACACAAACACAGCACTCTCTCCCCACCTTTTCCCTATTTTCTTTAATTCTCTATTTCTCTTACTACTTATAAGATAAGGGTAAAGCTTATACCACTTTCCATGCCACCTGTATAATTTACTTGTAAAACTTTGTGAGGTTTTTTGGACCCTCTGACATTTATTGTTCCTTTTCAACCACGGGCACCTGCAAATCTTCCTCTTGGGAATGGGACATGACAGCCTGATCCCCTGGTTGTCCTGTGTGGGCTGTACGATGGCACTCGATATGCTCTGCTCCATAGCCTTCCCTGGCACCGATGTCAGGCTGGGTTCTCCTTCTGACCTTTCACGTAGATGGGCATGACATTTGCTAACTTAGTAATTAATCTAAAGAATATGGGGAAGTACAAGGGGCCACAGAAACCCTGGGAGGGGAGGAAAGGATTAAAAGACTACTCAGAGACTGAGGTAGCACCATGTCCTAGTTAGGACAACTGAGACCAGTTCATCATGGTATGGGTGTAACCCAAAACTGTGTATTCTATAGCCTTCCATGCCATTTCCCAGAAACTGTTGTCAATAGACTATTCACACCCTCTGCCCATAGAGCCTGACTCCTCAGGCTATAAACTAGGTGTTAAGAGGCCTGTGAGATAGGAGGATGCTCTTGTCTTCACACCCTTTGTGGAACTCCCCGCCCTGAGGGGAGTACTGAGCATTCCTGCCTGAACTGGAGGATATATAATCTTGGAGTCTTGGAACATTTTTAACCACTCGTGGGATCCAGAGGAAGACTGCAGCTCATCGCTCTCAACCTCAGCTGGACTGCAATCACCACTTTTGACCAGACTGCAACAGCTCTCCCACCAGCAGGTTTTTCCCCTCTCCCTTTACTTTGGACTCAAGCGGGGCCCAAGGAACACCACTTTGTTCATGCCCCAGGGTACTGGGTTATACATTTGGGTTTTGTGGGTTAAGACCAATTGTTTGTTTGTATGATTGTACTTACTGTATTATTTTAATAAATTGTTATTCTGATTTATAATCTCTCCTTTGAGTTGGGTTCATTTCCCCTGCTGGTTAACTCTTAAACCACCACACACCAGCAACAGAGAAACAACACTGATAGTCCCACCATGTCATAGTATTTTTCTGGACAAAATGTCCACCACACAGCTAGACAAGTCCATAATACATTGCATGAACAATTGGCTGCCCAGTTGGGCTCAGATTTACAGTCAGTGGGGTTACATCAGGCTGGCAGCAGTCACCAGTAAGGTCCCACAGGGCTCAGTTTTAGGGCCAGTGCTCTTCAATGCCTTTGTAAACAATCTGGACACACAAGTCAAACATACATTAATTAAGTTTGCCGCTGGTACTAAATTAGGAGGAGCTGTGGACTCCCTCAAGGGTAGAGAGATCCTAGAGAGAGATCTAGATTGACTGAAGAGCTTTGGCAATCATCAACTGTATGAAATGTAAAAAGAGGAAGTGCT